TTTTTTTTAACTAACCTACATTCTTCTTCCCTGAGTGGGGATCCGGGCCGCCCGGCTGACGGGAGGAGGCCCGGGGGAGGTCCCGGGCGGCCTAGCCGGGCGGGGCACCCGGTTGGGGGCCGGCCCCCCCCAGCGCAATGACCTGTTCGGGGGTTTCAGACCCCCGTTTCGCTGCTTTTGGCCTCCCGCAGGCCTACCGGGTCCGACCAGCCCGACAAACTGACCCGTCGGGCCCGGTAGGCCTGCGGGAATTGGAAAAACTTTCTGACTGCTATCTGGCCATCGATCCGCCATGATCAACGGCCACAGAGCCGGTTGATCTAGGCGCCAAACATCCCCGCTTTCAAACATGGGATCGGCCCCCCAGCACGATCGAAGTTCCTCCTGCGCCGTCCTGCTGCGCCGTCGCCCGTCGACATCGCCATCGAGAAGTACTGCTGCAGCTGCTACGACGAAGGCGCCGACTGTCAGCTGCTGCTGCTACGACGACGGGCCGGACTGTCCTGCTGATCCTGCTACGACGAAGGCCCCGACTGCCTTGCTGCTGCTGCTACAACTAAGGCCCCGACGACGAAGGCGCCATTCTTCTTCTTCTTCTTCTTCTTCTTCTTCTTCTTCCTGTCGTGCTCGTTTAGGGTTGTGTTGGACGGGCAGACGAAGGCCCTGCTGCTAGGGTAACTGTTGCAGGTAACGACTTCTTCTTCTTCTTCTTCTTCTTCTTCTTCTTCTTCTTCTTCTTCTTCTTCTTCTTCTTCTTCTTCTTCTTCTCTCCTCCTTCTCCTCCTCTCGTCTTCTTCGTCTTCCCTTCGTCTTCCCCTCGTCCCCCACTCGTTTTCTTTCTCCTCCTCCTCTTCTTCTTCTTCTTCTTCTTCTCCTCCTTCTCCTTCTTCTTCTTCTTCTTCTTTCAGTTCATCGACATTCGGCCGGTCACGTGAGACACGACAGGTTAAAAAAAAAAAAAAAGGCCGTCCTTCTCCCCCTCCTTCTCCGCTTATCTTCTTCTTCTCCTCCTCCTCTTCTCGTTGTCCTCTCGTCTTCTTCTTCTTACCCTCCTCCCCCTCGCATTTTCATCTTTTTCCCCGACCTTTCTTGATCTTCTTCTTCTTCCCCTCCTCACGTCTCTTCTTCTTCTTCTTCTTCTTCTTCTCCATTCGCTAGGTCTTCTTCTCTCTTCTTCTTCTTCCCGTCCTTCCTTACTCCTTCCCTGCCTTTCTTCACACCCTACCGTCGTCTCCATAATGCACGGCCATACCCCGCCGCCGCCTTACCCTACCACCGCCATACCCTACCGACATACCAGTGCTGCCATACCCTACCGCTGCCATCCCCTGCCGCCACACCCCGCTGCCATACCCTACCGCAGCCGTATTTCTTCCCCATCTTCTTCCCCATCTTCTTCTTCTTCTTCGTCGTCGTCTTCTTCTTCTTCGTCGTCTTCTCGTTTCCTTTCTCCTCCTCATCTTCTTCTTCTTCTTCTTCTCCTTCTTCTTCTTATTCTTCTTCTTCTTCTTTCAGTTCGTCGACATTCGGTAGGTCACGTGATACACGAAAGGTTAAAAAAAAAAAAAAAAAGGCCGTCTTTCTCCCCCTCCTTCTCTTCTCTTCTTCTTCTCCTCCTCCTCTTCTCGTCGTCCTCTCGTCTTCTTCTTCTTACCCTCCTCACCCTCTTCTTCTTCTTCTTCTTCTTCTTTTCCATTCGTTAGGTCTTCTTCTCTCCTCTTCTTCCTTCCCTACTCCCTCCCTCCCTTTCTCCATCCTCCCATCCATCCATCCCTTCAATAAGTTCATAGCATGCATGCAGCAGACTTCAGAGCAAACATGCAGAACACCCAACCCAGTAGGCAACATACATGCAGGGCCCCCAACCCCCAGACACCACCCCAACCCCAGCACCCCCCACCCAGACCAACCCCCCCATCCACCCCCCAGAACCAAAATTTTATTGCAGATTCCGGGTCCTCTCGCCAGCGCAGAACGACCCCGTTTTCCAAAAAAAAAAACAAAAAATCCTGGGCGGTTTTTTTGCCCGCCCGGTTTACCCGGGCGGCCCCCCCGGGCCCGACCAGCCGGGCTGAGCCCGGCCGGGCGGCATCCTCACGCAGCTTCTTTCTATATATCTCCCACTACCTACCTACATACCCGCAGCTTAGCAATCCACTACAGGGATTTTTTTCGTGTCCAAGGCAGGAAATCTCTCCTAAATTAAGAAGACAGAGCTAATCTCTGCTCTGTGGGGGGAGCAGCACCCAAGCTTCTAACACCAGGCGCGAGCTGGAAAGCGCAAATGGTCCCTTCCCGGCCAGCCAGATGGCCCAAGCCAATTATCTCCACTGGAGAACCCGAAGTGCATCACAGGAGGCCGTGGGGACAGAATGGATGACGAGGGGAATCGAACCCACAACTTCCTGCAAACCACTTTCGTGCTCAAACCAACTGAGCTAGCCCGCTTGGGCTTGGTGAACCCCTTTATTTGTCGGTGCAGCTCCCTTTTTCCTGTGCCTCTCACATCAAGGATGGCCATGTTGGTTGTCGTTGAGCGCCAGCTGCCCACATCCCTGTGTGCCACAACCCCAAAACATGTGGCTGGGGATTCCGGCTCAGATCCAGGTCCAACCACACTGAATCAGCAGTAGGGCCTGGCAGAAGAATGTAATGAACCCAATCTGGCACATACTCATCAGTCGTCAAACACCAGTAGTCTCGGTATCTGCCGCATAGTCTCCAATTATCGTGAAATGATATTTGTAACAGTATCTCATTACCATTTGACGAAGAGAGTGGAGGGGGATCAGACAGAGGAGAAGGTGGAAGAGATGATTAAAGATCACACAAGAGTAATCCCGTCAAACCCCACTCCTTCTCCGGGCTTCTTCCCTCTCCACGCCAACAACCAGTATATGATAACAAGTATGCCACGTGGCACCCTTATATCGTGAAGACCATGAAGACACAACAGATTACAATGACAATGTCAACCTCAGGTGAGTACCCGATCCCAATCATCCACAGATCCCGATCTCCTTCCTCCTCGCAACCAGGCACCTCATGT